TGCTTAGTAAAATGGGGTGCTTATGTAAAATGAGACCAAAGCTTGCTCACTGAGTGGTTGTCTCTATTTTATGAGATCATTTGTAAAGCTGACTTTGCCAAGTTATTATCACATAATGGACCTCAAAAAATGTTAATTCCTTTGCTTTTCTTTACTTGTTTGACAGCATATGTGTTATTAAAAAAAACAAAAAACAAAACCCCAAGCCAAAACCCTCTCTATTTTGTTAGAACAACTCAAAGGAAAAACAAAGCCAGGGAATGCTGTCAAGAAAGCAGGGAAATGAATGTATATTTATTGAACACTATTATGTGATAAGAACCAAACAGAGTTTACTTCACACATAATATCATTAAATCCAGGCAGCCACCCCATCAGAAAGCTTTGGTCAGCGTCTCCAAGGTGTTAAGGCAATGAGGGCAGTTTAAAGACTAAGGTGCACCTGATTCAGGCCACGGCCGTTTCGTTTACTTGCTTTGCATCCATCGGAAAGTTGGGCAGGGAACAAAGAAGAGAAATCAGTGCCTTTGAGCTATGGTGTTGGAAGAACAGTGTTGAGTATCTCTTGGACTGTCAAAAAAAGAACAAACAAATGTCTAGAAAAGATGCAGCCAGGCTGCTTCTGGGGGGCAACCATGGTGAAGCTTTGTCACACATATGTTGAGGTTGTTCAAAGGGTCCAGGCCTTAGGGACATCATGCTTGGAAACGTAGAGGGTCAGTGAAAGAGAAGAAGACCTGCAATGAGTTGGATTGACCCGGTGACCATATCAGAGGGCTCAAGTATATCATAGATGATGAGGATGGTACAGGATAGGACAGAGCTCAGATCTGATGATCTTGGGGTCACTGTGAGTCCTTGTCGACTCAGTGGCACCCAACAGCAATTAAGTTAATTTTAGTACATATTCATTCACACTTTCACATAATTTGAATCTAATTAGTAAAATTTTTGTTACTGGTTTACTTCTATACTTGTATACTTCGTATACATTGTTTTTCACACTAGATCTTTCCCATTTTCTTTACCTGCTCCCACCTCTCCACCCATCAAATTGTGTGACCCTGTGATTAACAGCTCACCGCCCATCCTCACTCCTCTGTTCCCACCCTCCCTTGGATCATCGTACTCATTCCACAACAATGGTCTTATACAGTATTTGTCCTTATAGGACTGAGTTAGTTCACTTAGCATAATGCTTTCTATCCCCCCCCCAGTTAGATAATGATATACAGAGTGAGTCATTGCTTCTTCCCGCTGCGCAGTATTCCATCATGTGAATGTACCATACTTTCTCGATCCATTCCAATGTGATTGGACATCTGGGCTGTTTTCATGTTCTTGCGATGGTGAATAATGCAGCTATGAACATTGGTTTGCAAGTCTCCAGTTGTACCTCAGTACTCAGTTTCTCTGGGTGTATTTCAAGCAGTGGAAGCTGAGTCATATGGAATTTCTATGTTCAGCTTTTTGAGGAAAATGCTAAACTGCCTTCCAGAGTGGAATTAGTCAAAATTTTTATTATTTGGGACAGACTGATTGTATTGTAGCAAATTTCTACTGTGCAGTTTCAATAGGTGCCCCGTAATCGAGAATTGAAAAATATATTGGTAGATGCTGGTGATAGAACTTGAATGATTTTTGTTTGTTTGTTTTGGGGTTTTCATTAATATATTTTATTTCTTCTATAATGGTTTGCTCACAAGTTTGTATACATTGTGTTTCACACTATTCTTTATTCACATTATGTATCATACAATTAGTCCCATGTGTTACTTTTTATAAAATCAATCACCGTTGGACCTTGTCCATCACGACCCAATCTTTTCACCTTCCTGCTGGATCTTTCCCATTTCCTTCACCTCCCCCCCCAAACTGTGCAACCCTATGGTTTCACCCCTACCCATCCTCACCCCTCTGCTCCTACCTCTCCTTCCCCTCTTGGGTCCCCATACATGTTTTAACAGTTATCCTTCTATTTTTACAATAATGCTCTTTGCCCTCTCTGACGCTAATAAATTTATAGTAGTATAAGAATTGTGAACCATGTGTAAAAGTGAAAACTACAACAGTAAAAAAAATAAAATAGAAAAAAAACTGGTTGTGATCAAACTAACAGATAAAACAAAAACAAAAGATAATGCATCTCATTTTTGATGAGATGCATCTCATAATTTGATGATGCTCGTCCTGACTAGAAAATGCATGTTCCGTATCGATAAACTTGTAGGGCAGTAACTTTTGAGATTTTTATGTAGCTCTTAAATTGATTCTGATTCATGTTGGAGACCCTTTGTCAGTTTCCAAGGCTGTAAATCTTTGAGAGGAGATGCTCTGAAGCTTGGCTTGGCAGTTGATACTCCAAGGTTTCTATTGTTAATGGAAGCTGAACTCTCAAAGCCACCCAAGACTCTTTGAATCCTACCATCATTTTCTCATAGGGCTGCCGTGAGCGATTCTGGTGGCTTAGATAATAACATACATACTACTGGATTTTGAGAGATGGTGACATTTATTCCCGCCCCCCCCTTACTTATTTGCTCCTCAAGCCTGTGATTGTATATGTTTTAAGTTACTTTTAGGACTGAAATGAGTTCAAGTCAGCAAATGGTTAAAGTACGTCATCTTTTTAGAAGCTTCCTGCCTTTTATTGAACACATATCTTAACACTCTTCTGCAAAGTTTGAGGACCCAGCAGAAGACCAAGGCCCGCTGCCTGGAGTGTAAACGGCAGTGGAAGCCTGGTTCCAGTTGGCTACCAGTGTCGTGTCCCCTCCCTGCACTTCAGTATCTTAAAAATGCCACAGTAGCCGCCTCCTAGCATCTCTTAACAGGATGACAAAGCACATAACTGCCTCCTGTGCAGTAGGCACTTCGTTTTTGGTTGTATTTTATACCCATTGACTACACAGAAAACCCTTCTTGATCACTTTTTAGTAAAATAACAAAATGCTCCAGTGCATTTAAAATAGTCTCTGTCGTTGTGTCAGAGCCGACCCATAGCAGTTTGCTCTCGAATTGGACTGGATCCACAGCTGTGACCTCTAGCACTTTTCAGAGGCCGTAAACCACACGGGAGAAGATTGCCCATCCTTCTTCCACGGAGCAGCTGGTGGATTTGAACTGTGTGCCTTTGGGATAGAAGCACAGCTTCTTAACCACCGGACCACCAGAGCTCCCTACAATATCATTTTGTTGGCAGAATTGCTCTTAATATGCTCCTTTTTCGGCCTTTTGGCTTAGTGGTAAGGAGCTGTGCTGCTGATCCAAAAGCCCGTGGTTCTAATCCACCAGCTGCTCTGTGGGACCGAGATGGCTAGTCTCCTCCTTTGCTGGTTTACTGCCACTGAAAACCCACTGAAGGGTCAATTGTGAGTCATTGCTGACTTGATGGTGTGTAACAACAGCAGTGTGCGTGACAGGCTGGTCTTTGGAAAAAGACCTGATTCTGGGACAGGTAGAGAGAGGGTCAAAGAAAGAGAGTGTGACCCTCCCCAAGATGGACTGTACCAGTGGGCGTGTGGAGATTGTGAGAACGGAATAGGGTAGGGCAGGGTTCAGGTCTCTTGGTCTTGGAGCCTCTGTGAGTTTCAGTTGACACAATAGAACACGGCAGTAACAACATACAGAGGAAAGGCCAGCTATTTATTGTTTGTGAAGAATAAAACCAAAATGCATCACAAACAGTGGAAGTCAGTGACTCCGTTATCCACCTGTTTCCGGAGTCCAGTCAGTCAGGCCACAGAGGTCAGTCAGTCCTTCAGCAGCTGGGCCTTGTTGAGCTGTCGCCTCTGAGGGAGACCTGGTTTCGAGCACCTCCGCCAGCTGCGTTTTCTGTAGGAGCACAGCTCTGTGCTGAAGTTCACAGTGTACGCAGAAATGCAGTGAATTCCATACTGAGGCCGTCCTGAAACCAACACCAACAAGAAATGAAAGTGCAGACAGTAGGTTTTCTTCCCAAGGTATTAAATGTTAAGGTGCAGGTGCTGTTGCTCTGTCATCGTGAAGCTCCGTGGTGACACATCGCCACAGTCCGTAGATTTTAAAGACCGAGATGTGTAGCAGTGTTTCCTAACACACACTAACCACTTTACTTTGGGGGTGAGGGGGGCATGGCGATGTAGAGTTGAGAACAACTATTTTCTAAAAACATATGTCAGAATGAATTTCTAGTCAAGACGGTTTTCCATTCATTGCATGCTGTAACTGTAAAACTACCCCCCTACTTTGTGTTTTTTGTTGTTGTTGTGTGTTTTTTTTTTCTCTCTCCAAAAGTAATCTGAGCAAAATACACTTGAATTGCTTTGTGATGCTTCACAATCTATATTTTGTTTGGAGACCCTGCTTGCAATTCTGACCGGCTCACAAACAGAAGAGTGATGATATGGGTCGGTGTGACAGGCCAAAAGTCCCGCATTAATGTTCCATTCTTAAATACTCATGGCATGATGGTGGCTCTGTGTGTGTGTGTGTGTGTGAGTGTGTGTGTAAGTGTGTATGTAAGAATCATAGGCCTTTTACAGCCTATTCACTATTTTTATATTTCCTGTTAATGCAGCCTCCTCTAACTTCAGGCTTATGTTTCTTGAATGTTTGCTCCCATCTCTTCGCCCTCTTTGGAACCGCTTTATGTTGTGGGGAGGAGCGCTAAGAAAAGGCAGAGCCTCATAAGCTCTGTGAATATAAATAAAGCAGACAGATTGCCGTTTATGATGTCTCAGCGTCCACCTGGAGGGGCAGGAACTTAAGAGCAAAATAAAAAGGCTGAACATCCGAGACAACTCAGAAATAGATCTTCCCACGGTGAAGGGAAGATGGAAATGGGAAGGTTAACTGTTAACGGCCCCCAGTTGTACATGCTTCGTCTTGAGGTACCGCTTGGTTTAATAAAATGCAGATCTGAGGCTCCTCTGAACCTCACCGTTTGTTAAGGCTTAATTATAAAGGTTATATTTTCTGAGGACAAAAGCATTGCTCACTTGTCTGTTCTTGTCTCCCAGGTTTACCTTGCTGATTATGGACTCTCCTACAGATATTGTCCCAACGGGAACCACAAACAGTATCAGGAAAATCCTAAGAAGAGCCATAATGGGACAATGGAGTTTACCAGCCTGGATGCCCACAAAGGAGTTGGTGGGTTTCTTTTTTCTTTTTTTTTTTTATTCGCTTTGTTTTTAACTCAGCAAAAGGATTCGAGAAGAGCGATGACACTGCCTGAAACGGCCTTTGCTTGGAGCAAGGTGGGGATTCCTAAGAAGAGCCCTGGCGGGATTTTAACCTGAGTACAGAGTTCCTGTTAGGCCAGAGATTGTGGTAGCAGTGGAAGGAGGGGTGGACTCTTCCACGTGAGAAGAGAATAATGTGGCAAAACTTGATGCTCCTCCTGACTAGAAAATGCACGTTCTGTATCGATGAACTTGTAGGGCAGTAACTTTTGAGATTTTTATGATAGCGTGCATATCACAGATTGGACGAAGATATGGATTATTCCTATTTTCCATTATATTCTCTGAGCCTGGGCAGGCACCATCTCCCAGTAATCAGCAAACACCTCCCTCCCCCCCCCTTTTTTTTTTGTTTTGAAACTCGAAAGTGTTAACTGGTAGAAATCTCTCCCGCTTGCCTTTCATATATCTTACTTATTTAAACTCACTTTGATGGTATTGGAAACACATTTGCAGGTAAATTACATACATAGTCCTTTTATTGGGTATTGATTGTACTGCCTTGCATTCCAAGGCAGACTTAATTCAACAATTCCCTAATTAGTTAAAGTCATAACCTATGTCTTGTATTCATTTACCATTAATTAAACCTTGGCTGTTTATTACACGGCAGTCCAAATCCGATAGGCAACCCAGAAAGCCACGGAAAAGGAAGTGGGAGGTCAATATCGAAAATATATGGTGCCGAGTCCCACTGATGGTTGCCTGGTTCACAATCAATATGGTCAATGCGACTGTACTTTTTTAGTTGCTCTGTCAGCAAGACAAAAAGTCAATTCTAATGTTATGCTAGTGGAAAAAAAAAGGTGGTTATTGAAAAACTTTGGCTTTCAAAATCATATTCTTGGTAAACTTTGTTTATAAAACTATTATCACATGTGCTAAACTTAGCAAAGAATCTTTAAGTCGTTTGAAGGGACTCTGTTTTCACAAAAATGCAATTAGGCATTTGCACTTGTTAAATGGCCGTTGAACTGTTACCCTAAACTGATACTTCTAACGAGTTTTTGTTGGCACAAACAACTGTATATTATTGCCTTTTCTATTAAAAGGACCATTGGCCATGTAATGTAGAGGGTCTTGATCATTTACTTGAGCAATTAAAGCCCACACTAGTTTAAGCTGGAGCTGTGGTGTTATGGTGGTTAAGCACTTGTCTCTGCCAACTGAAGGGTGGGCAGTTCGAACTCACCAGCTACTCAGTGGGAGAAAATTGTGCAATCTGCTTGGTTGCCTTACAGACCCTGTGGGACCACTTTCTTCTGACCCAAATGCAGGTTTGCTGAATTGGGATCAGCTCAACAGCAATGAATAGATTAGGGTTCTGATTAGTTTAACATGTTGTTATGTGTCTTCAAGTCACCTGCGACTCCCAGTGACCCTGTACAACATTTCTGAATCCTGTCCTGTCCTGAGCCAGTCTCACTGATTCCAACAAACCAAGCCCCATGGCCCCAGTTACTGTATCAGTCCATCTCTTCCGGGGTCGTCTTCTCCTGCGCTATCCCTCCATGAGGTCCTTCTCCAAGGATTGGTCCCTCCTCCCACCTGGCCACATACCCAAAGTATGTGAGGTGGAACTTCAAAATCCTAGTCTCCAAGGAAACTTGGTGAAAAAAATGTCAGTCAAGTTCATTGATTGCATATTTTTCTTACTCTAAAGTCTAAAGATGTATTGTAGCTTATATTTTCCTCAGTGGAAATTTGCTTTTTTATTAGAGTCAAAGAACTGGTACCTTTTTCCCCCCCCATATATAATTTATTCCAAAAATATAACAAATAACTCAGAGATTAAGTAATACCTATTTTTCACCATTTTACATCACTATGATGAAATCTCGTCAAGAAGCGTTGAAGGTATACATTGGAATATTGTCTTAATTACATGAAAGAGAAAAAGTTCAGGTACTCCTTGACAGAGTGGTCTGTTGGGCTTTTTTCCAGTTCTTTCATTCCCAGTGAATTTCACTCTTCACTTCTGCCACGTTTGAAAAGTATTACAGAATTTTCACAAAGCCGAAGTCCTTTTTTATAGAACTACAGATTTTTCAGTCAGATGATGAAGCTTTGGTCTGATCATGTTAATCACCCCAAAACTCTAACAGCAGCGGCCAGATTATAGTGATAGTAGCCACATAACTAAATTATAGTGGTGGTGCTGCTGATTTTGAGTTGGAACCAATTTATAGCTGACCCTTCCGTAGGTTTTCAGAGGCAGTAAATCACATGGGAGAAAACTGCCCATCCTTCTCCAGAGCAGCCGGTAGATTTGAACCAGTTGCCTTAGGGTTGGCAGTGCAAGTCCTTACCCACGAGGCCACCAGATCACTTACTTTAGTTGACAGCCCTGTACCACTGAGTCAGCATGTGTGGTGGGAAAACTTCCGAGGATCCATTCTGAATCTGGAAGAGAAAGTAGACTCGTTCCAAAGTGTCGTGGTCGATGTGTGGACTCTGGTAATTCTCAAGACTCCTTCAGTTACTCCACAATGCAGAGCTTGGTTTTGTCCTCATTCTCTTTGTAAAAGATTTGAGCACACTTTGATTTGATGGTCCGTTCCATTTCTTCCCCTTCACCCTTAAAAAATAGTCATCATGCATGTCAGTGACATGAGCGACTTTTCATCACAGTAAGCAAAAGGGGAGAAGAATGAGACTTGAAATTCATCTGAGAAAGAGGATATAAACTCGCTGTGGAAGCGATTCGGGAAGAGCCCACATTGAAGTACTTGCGGTCACTCACGTATACTGAAAATTTAATAAGCAGTTTGAATCTGCTTAGGTAAAAACGGAGATTCTCATGTCCTCAAGTGTTTGACTGCTGTTCATTCTGAATGTTTTGCATTTAATTTTCCAAAATAAAACATTCCAGGTTAGGATTTTATTAGAAATGAAATAATCACTTAGCCATATCTAGAAACCAAAATAAACAGGGCCATAAATCCTGTAGAGAAGTGGAGAAGGTCAGATTCATAAATATTCATGTGTTTACTTTCAGCAGAGTCACTGTGTAGTTTAATCTGAGAAAAATCTTTTCTGTACCAGTCCAGCTAGGAGATGAAATAATAAATACTGAGAAAAGATAATGCAGTGGGAAGCATACAGAGGAGGGGAAAAAAGAAAGTCATCACTAGGAAATACAGTGGCAGGTTGTCGAAGTGTTTGCTGTGTCAATTGGACGTGTGTCTGGTCAGGGCACAGGAAGTCTTCAGGCTTCCATGTGAAGCCAGCTTATGGGCGGTCACTCAGCAGAGACTGTTGGTAACTCATTCCTTCTCTGGTTTCTGCTGCATTTTGGTTTTTTTGTTTGTTTTTTTTTTTCTTCTGAGAAACTGAAGTTAAATCTGTTCTCTTTAGATTAATGAGATTTTTATGGTGGTGTTTTCTTTTTTATTAATAAAAAGGAATCTATGCAACACACTGACCACTGTTTCCCCCTTCGCATTGTCTAGTTGAACATTTACGGGAAAACATTTTGTTTTCCAGTTTGTTGTTGTTGTTGATTGCCTTTGAGTCGAGCATGACTCTTAGCGACCCTATGAACAAAAGGCCTGAAACCTTTCTAGAACTACTGTCGTTTCTCAAAGTTCATAGAGTTTCCAGAGGCATGTGGTTTAGGAAGTGAATGCCACTCCTGCTTCCAAGAAAAGATATTTCTGGAAACTATTAGAAATAAAATGCATACATATAAATAATACATAGATGAATGGATGGACGGGTGAATAACCTTTACTGCAACTCTCCTCTTTATCTGTGTGTCTTTTAATAAAGTTGCAGGTAATCACCCAAATGCAGTTGTCCTTTGTGACCTCCAGGTATTTTCTAAGCTCCTGAAGTGCTTCATTTAGTGTGAAATTTGAGTAATACATGTTGGGCTTATTTCTTCTACTATTTTATACTTGCCATGACATCTAGCATGTATAAACATTGACACGTCCTGGACTTGTAGCTTGATAATTAAAGAGAATTATACTGGTGTCAAATATACTATTTTAAAATTTGTTACATTCTTGGTAATGTTAAAAAGCAATATTTGGATCAATGTGTGGTATGGATTTTTGTAGATTTTTCTGCTCACCGAGGCATGCAGTCAATACCTAATTTCTCTGGAGATATACTGCATTTAACATATTGAGCTTTTTTAAATACTTAAGACCTGTGCATTGAGTATATAATACCTGTTTTAATTTGACACCATTGATGACCATAAAATATGTTTATCTAAATTGCATTTTAAAATGTCCCTCCTTTATGTTAAAATATCCAGTGTAAGGGAGGAAATACATAACACACATGGACAATTTTGCCAGTTGCTATTATAGACGACATCCAAGTTTTCTGTTACTTCTTTCCTGGTTTCATTTCCCTCTAATCAAGCACTCCAGCTTACATGTGAGATAAAATAAAAAACTATATGTGAAATAAACTGAGAATATAGTTTCCCGTTGCCAGACTTCAGGGAATGATACGATTTTTCACAATACTTATCTTCTTAAACAATAATTTTAAAATTATAAAGAACTCATCTTCCAACTCTGGCAAGATATTAGGAGAAATTAACAATTTACTAGTATGCGCTGCTGAATGTGTCGGTAAGAAAGCATACAGTTGCTTTCTTCTTTAGGTAAATTTTTATAAATGATAAATTATAGTTCTTGATTGATATAGAGATAAAAGCAAAGACACTCTTCTGTCTGTATGACATAGTTAAGACAGTGTAAAGTGTTGAAATATTTGGATTTAGTTACCAGGGCACAACAGCCCGAGCTTTATTGAGAAACTTTCTTTGGGCTTCATAGTATTCTTTCTCTGTGTGTCTCTGTCTCTCTCTCCCTCCTTCTCCTCTTCTCTTCCCCTCTCTCTCCCTCTCCCTCCTTCCTTCCCTTCTTCGCTCTTTCTCTATCCCTC